AATAAAGAAAAAATGCCTATGTGCAAGAAAATGAAGGGAAGGAAATATCCCAAAAAAAAAAAAAACCCAGTGATTGTGCAGGTGGTTTCCCCCCCCTCTCCTTCTTGTCTACCTTCCATATTGAGTGTGTGTTGCTTTTATAACAAGTTTTGAAAAATCTAGTATGCTTTATTGAAAAAGAAAACTGTAAGGGAAAAACACCTTTCAAAGTTCCTATGTCCTTAGTTGCAGAGTCCATAATCAAACACGATAAACTTGTAACAATCTATTAATGGGGAAATTACCTCATGGTTTCTACATACAATAACAGATTTTTAAAAACTATTTAAAAAATAGTATTCAAGGAAAAATGAAAACGAGTAATTTTCCTTTATAGAGAATGTCATGAAATAGCCTTATCCTCCATTTCTTGGACTCAAGTTCAGGCAAGGAAAACAGATTAGTCTGAAAGCTGTGTACACTTCCAACAACAATAACACCAGAAGAATGCTAGTTCTATAGGTATGCACGGTGTTCATTTCCTTCATCACTAGCTTGCAGTGTGAGACCATACTTGATTTTGTAAATCAAGCTATTCACAAATTTCTGTTCTCTACACTTGGCCTCCAAATGTTCCAATCCTATTGGGATAAGTTACTGATGCGCTTTAGCACCCCACTGGGCACACTTGCTCCTAGGCTGGGGACAAGGAACCATGCCTGGTCCGGCTGTAGTGCACTTACCACCCAGATGTTAGAACGTGCTTGGAGCTCTGCATTTACCCGGAAGCCACCAAAATCTGAGTCTATTTCTAGTCCGCCACTCTTGGCTAGCTCAACATTGGGCTCCAGGCCCACAGCTGCCACTATGTGGTCAGTTTCTACCTGAGGAAAAAAAGTAATTCGATCAATTACCATAGTTTCTATGTATACTTATGGACATAGCAACTGCGCATCATGTCATGAAAAACCCAAGCTTTACAAAAAGATCATTGGTTAACTTTCTCTGGTAAAAAGATTTAAGTTCCATTTCATAAAGTGCCCTCCTTCACATACCCATAACCCATATCATCTGAACAGAAATCTGTCACCCTAGTCAGGTCTTAAAAATCCTTGATAAGACAGGAAGGGGCTATAGGAAAGTGGGTCCCAGGCATCTACTCTGGTTCTTATCATTTTTGTTTTAATTCAGGGACAGTTCATTCAGAAAATCATGACAGGTTAATGGTGGCTGCCAAGAAAACTAATGTACTGGTAACAAATGAAGAAGAATGAGGAAAAAGAAGAGGAGGGCTAGGTCTTCTGGCAGCCTGTCTCCCCCCTTCTTTACCTTCCGGCCGTCTTTCAGCTTGATGAGTAACTTGCCACCGCTGACACCGACTGATTGCACAATAGCATTGGGCAGCACCTTAACACCCTCTGTGAAGGCAAACAAGACCTGAAGCTGAGCCTATGAGCCTACCACCTTCATGAAAAGTAGGGAAGCTGACTAGAGGCATCTCCTGTCATAAAACCAGTAATTATCAGCATGCAGGCACCCTTGGAAAGCTGCAAAAACCTACATCCACAGTTCATTTTCAACATATCTGAGAATCTGGTGCATCAGATTCAGAATACTTACATGAACCTGACTGACTAGAGAATGGGGGAAACATTTCCTCTGCTGGATGACATGGCTTATGTCAAGGGGGTTCCCAAAGAAGCCAACTTTGCATGAAGCCTATCTCAGAGAAAAGAGTGGCCAGCATATGGAAAGAATCTCTCTACCTCGTCTGACTTTTTCCATGGTCCAGTTGCTGAGGTATTCTGGGAGGATCTTTCCCATATTTCCTTTCTCAGGGAAAAGCTGAATCACTTCAGTGCCCAAGGCTTGAGCTAGGAAGAAACAGAGTAGGTATAGCAGAAGGCAAAAGCCAGTCCTAAGACAGAAAGAGAAGCAGCAGGCAGCCATTTACTACACACATGGCAATACTGTGACCCAGGCCAGAGCTCCCATTTGTGGGGCACTGGGGCAGTAGGGCAGTCACAAGGCAAATACAACAGGTGCCAGAACTGTCATCCCTGGATTCGACCACATACTGTGAACTCAGTGCACTTGCACCCAGGCATCACCTTGGACTTCCACAAATGCCTTGCAACTTCTGAATAGTAAGCACCCTCCTGAGAAGATGCCCTGATTTCGCACAGCTGAGAAATAACATTAAGAAAAATGGTTGCCATGAAACATGCAAACTGGTAACTCATGGATCTGTCAAGACACACAGAACCATCGTGTGTCTGAAGGAAGTCTTTGCCTCTATGGGGAGCAGCAGTTCAAAGATACATACACTTCTGTAGTCTAAACTGTCCTTACCATCTCAATAGCTCACTTTCCTTAATATTTTATTTCTAAGGAGTCTTGGCCTACAGGCTAGAAGAAAGGAAAGAAAGCATTGCTGCTCAATTGCTCAGATGACAGCTTTGTGGTCATTAAAGAATTCTTCATCAGAACTAAGATCAGTGCTTAGCTTTTCACCATACAAACCTTAATCGAAGTCTTTCTACTAATCCTGGCAAATGCATCTCTGGAATTTGTGAAAGGCCCAAAAAGCATGTAATATCAGAACAGAGAAAGAAAACTGAGCTCACACTCCAGTACTCACCCTTTCTGCCAAGAGCACAGGCCAGTTCGCTACCAAGGAAGCCCCCACCGATAATTGTAATTGACTTGACTTCACGGGAAATCTTCTCTAAGGTTCTGAAGTCTCCAATCTGCAGGATCACAGCAGTTTAATCCACTGATTTACCAAAGCGGCACAGGATAATAATACCAGGAAATATTTTCCGCTGTCTTTGACTATAGTAATTTGCACATAAATTCTTCTTGTAAAATGTGGCTCAATTATAGCCCATATGATATTGATATAAATTTCTTTCTCCACTGTAACACTCCTTCTAGTGACAATGGTTCTCAACTGGTGGTGGTGTGGCGAGGGTAGACAGTTTTGTCTCTTCACCCCCAGGGGACATTTAGCAATGTCTGGAGATATTTTTGGCTGTCACAGCTGGGGGTAAGGAGATGCTGTTTGCTTCTAGTAGGTAAAGTCCAGAGATGCTGCTAAATATCTGACAATGCATGGGATGGCCCCTCACAGCAAATCCAGCCCAAAATGTCAGTAGTACAGAGGTTGACAAGCCTTGTTCTGTCAAGAGCTTCAAGGATAGTATGGATCTTTTCAAATACCCATAAGAGTGGATGAAAAACTTTAGCAGTTTTCATAAGCAAAGCATGGTGATAAAAAGTAACCCCTCCCCTACTTCCTCACTTAGGTACTCTTAACTTTTCTCCCCAAAGTCTCCAAAATAGAACTTGCAATGAAAAATTCTAAGAGGCTATGAGTTCCAATGACTCAAATGCATCAGGAAAAAACAACTATGAAAGGGTGATTGGAAGGAACTGTAGCAAGCAATAAAAACACAAAATGTATTTTTCTCCTAGGAGCTTGAAAACACTTGAGTGAGGTATGTGAGGTGCAGAGAGAAGTGACTTGCTCAAGGCAAGATAACCAGTCTGTAGAAGAGCCATAAATAGAACTTGAATCTCCCAATTCTCAGGTGGGTACTTGGGGACCACAAGATTCTGCCACCTCTTCAAAACTGACACAGTGAAAGCACTAAAGCAGGCAATTACCTTTCTGAAAAGTGTTGTTCTACTCTTCACCTCTGCTCCAGCTCTATCAATGGCAGACAGACTTCTTGGAGTGCCTCCTGGAAATAAGACGAGGAAAATCCTTTAGTTCAACAAGCAGGAGCTAACCCAAACAATCCCCCGACAAAGGTGATGGTGTAGTGTATGCGCTCCCGCTGGTGCTACAGCAGCAGCAACAGGACAAGAGGCTTTGTTTTACTTCAACTCCCCTTACAGCAGGTTTTGAGAAGCAGATTTGAGAGTCTCTCTTCAAAGGGCCTGCCTTCCCGACAGATGGTCGCAAGGCCTCACTTTCTGCTTCCCAGTTCTCTTCTAGTTTCTCATGAAGATACACCAGATAGCATAGATATGTTTGTTTAAGCAACTGCTTTGGTCTCCTCCCTTTGATTGCTGATTGGAACTGGCAATGAAGCCATGAGGTTATATTACTTTCAGGAGAGAGGGCAGAGGCTAAGCAGGGTGAAAAAAAAGGCAATGTTCTTTAATACACATCCATGCCTTTACCAGAAGGAATGGCAAGGATAATCAGAAGGGCTGTTGATGGGACGCCAGTAGTTAGCTGGGCTTTGCACCAAGACAAGACACCCACTTTAGAGAGTTTGGGTTTCAGTTTTCTTAAGATTAAGTAAAGCCTTCTATACTAAAACTTGAATCAACTATATCAGGGAAGAAAGTCATCTCCAGAAATACTCACCTGTTGCAATCAAGCACTTTTCATAGGTTATTTGAGAACCATCATTAAGTTTCACCATGTTGCCTCTCACATCCAGCTGTATTACCTGATACAGTCGCACACACGTACACAGAAAGATGGAGAGATGAATTAGCTTTTTAAAAAATTTTATTGATATAAATCACTTAACGTAAAATTCACCATTTTAAAGTACACCATTCAGTGGTTTTTAGTATATTCACAAGGTTGTGTAACCATCACCACTATCTAATTCGAGAATATTTCCATTACCCCAAAAAAGAACACTGTACCTCTTAGCCACCAGCTCAATGAGAAGAATTAGTTCTTGACCTAAGGTGATCAATCCTTAAGAAACCACTTCTGAGTAATCATTGGCACCACTGTTTCTGGTATCCAGTTTCTTCAGGTGGTCCTTATTTCCTAAGCAGCCTACATTAGAGGAAGTTCCTACAGTTCCAAAGTTTCTGCCCAATTTGTGGAAATGTAGAATAGGGACAGATTTTTCTGCTTGGGGCTTTGGAATCCTGCCTGACTTTTTTTGTTAGCAACTTTCCTACATCATCCCCATTTTTGCAGGATGCTTTCTCCAACTTCTAGCACTAACTAAAACTTAGTTCCCGCCCCCTCAACAAGACTGCTCATTCCCCTACAATCCTTCCCATCAAAAGTCGAGGAGGGAGGTGTTGGCTGCTGCTGCTTCCAGGTTCTTGTACCCTCATTGTCCTCTGAGGGATGCCAATCTATAACCCTATGAATCACTGTCATCCAGCCACATTCTGGCCACTCCTCCTCATTCACTGAAGACCTGCAAATCTGGCTCATACTTTTCCTTTAAGCCACATCCAGAATCTTATCTTTTAACCTCTACTTCTACCTCAGATATCCCACTCTTTGGTCACAATTCCCCATCCTTCCAGCTTTCTCTCAGTCCCACTGGCATCTATGCTTACCTTTGATTGTCTCTGTTTACCCAGTAGGCTATTCCATCTCAACCTGGCCAATGGAAGATCATCCAAACTGTTCTCTTGCCAGCATCCCTAACTGCATTCCATCCTACTCCTTCCTATGGTGAAAAGCTTCAGCTTTGGAGTCAGAGAGGCTGGGGTTCCAGTCTGTGCTCCACTCTTTACTAGCTGTGAGACCGTTCATTCAAGACATATTTATTGAGCACCTACTATGTTTCAGGCACTGTGCTAAGTCCTGGGGACACAATGGTGAGAAAACAGATACCTTCAGAGTCTAGTAGCTAAGAGAGACAATTTAACAAGCACTACAATCAAGCATGTGAATTAAGAGTGAGAAATGCTCTGATGAGAGCAATATAGATAGCTCTAGGAACATATGACAGGAGAACCCAATTGAGCTTTCCTGAGACAACGACGTACCCAGAAATCCGATGGATGAGTAGCTTCTTTAGCAGACTTTGATTTGTCCTGTGTAAGCTCCCTCTTCAATCCAACCCCACTACTCAACCCTCACACTGCTCACTCTCAATAACCACCCAGTATCCTAGTTTATTGCAAAAACAAGTCAAGCCATTTGATGTGATCTTCCTCAGCTTCCCATAAGGGTTCCCACCTTCTGACCCCTGAATAAAAACCTTACTTCCTTTCTTCCAGCTTCTGGCATTAAGTATCCTCTTTGTTCTGTTTCTGTGCCTGACCCCCACCCCTTCCTTTCTCTCCCAGAACTTTCCCCTATTAGTCACCACTTATCACCTTCACCTCTCTCCTGACACCTTATACTGGCTGCCCATTAATATGCTTAATTAAGTCTGTCCTATCCTAAAAGTCTCACCTTTGATTCTGTGTCCTCCTCAAGCTTTTGCCTAATTATCATCTCCCCTCTCTCATTTAAACTTTTTGAGAGTTTATCAACTTTTTTCTTTTTCTAACTTCACAATGATATCTGAGTTGTTAAATCAAATGGGTCATTTTACAAGTCTTTTCTTACCAGATTTTCTTGCTGCAGTAACACTGTGGATCACACCCTCCTCCCTGAAACTCTCTCCAACCCTAGACCCCGTCCTGGGCTTTCCTTATACTGCCCTTTAACTTCTTTCCTACTCTCCTTAGTGGAGTTAAATGAGAGAGGGGAGATGATAATTAGGCAACTCTTAGTGGACTCTTCTTCTTAAGCCTACCTAAAACTTGGGTTTCCAGGGTTTCATCCTTGGCCCTACTCCTCTTCTGAGTGTAGAACTTGTCCTTGGGAGGCTTTACCTACTCTCATGGTTTCAACTCCAACATGTACATGGAGGATTCCTGAATCTCTATCTGAGACCAGACCCCTCCTCTGAGTGTCAGTCATATATCCAACTTCCCACAGGACATCTGCACAGATATTCCACTTCACACTTAATAGCCCAAACTGAAATTTTATTTCTCCCTTAAACTAGATCTTACTCTTGTAATATCTGTCTCGGGTGGGGATACTTCAGCACCTACCACACAAGGTGGAAAACAGAAAGTCACCTTTCCCTCCTCCTTCTCCCTCATGTTTCACCTTCAATCAATCACCACACCTATCGAGTTTGCCTCATAAGCATGTCTCCAGTGTTCCCCACTCCTTACCACCTTGCTGTTGGGAAGCTATACACTGATGTTAGTTAGTAAGAGCTTGGGCTCTGCAATCAGAATTCTGTAGCCAGAAGGATCTGGGCTCAAATTCTGTCTCCAACACTTATTAGCTATGTGATCTTGGGCAAGTTACTTAACCTTTCTTTAATCTCGATTTGTGTCTCTATAAAATGGAAATAATAATAGTATTTACCTCATAAGATTATTGTGAGGATAAAGTGAGATAATACATGTAAAGTGCTTTAAAACTGTGCTTACAACACCATTATCACCACTACTGACCTAGTTTGGGCTCTCATCATCTCTCACCTGGATTATTGCAATAGTCTTCGAAATGGTCTGTCTCTAGTCTTGTCCCCCTGAAATCTATCCTCCTCACAGCCAATAAGAGTATTACTGAAAATTCAATCCAACTGTAGTATATCTTTGTCTAAAACTCAACAGCTCCCCAGTGCCTATGGGATAAAACTCAAGCTCTTTCACATGACAGAGCTCTCCACGATCAGGCTCCTGCATGACTTCTCAGTTTCATCTTTTACCATTTCTTAATTTGTACTTTCTGTCAGGACCTAGCTGTTTGTGTTTCCCTGAATGAAACATGCTTTTTTCATACCCTTGTGCATTTTCTTAATGCTGTTCTTTTTAACTCGAATGCTCTTCACTTCTAAGGCCTTCATTCCATAACATATCCCATTCTATAAGACTTCTTTGTCCAGGAATCATTCCTTGAAACCATCAGTACACTGGGCACACTTTCTAGTAATTCCCACAACACACTGTGCATATCTTTCTCGCTCCGCATTTGTGTTATGATTATTTATTTATGTTTCTGTCTAATATGATTAGTCTTTAGAGGGCAGGGCCTGTGTGTTTACATATAGGGGGTACTTAATTCATAATGTCTCATTACCAGCTTTTCTACAAACCTATATCCCTCTTCTCTGCCTAACGTCTCCTTATAGAAGAAGTGGGTCTGTCCCTATCATAGGTCAATGCCTCCGTTTGTGATCTGGACCCTATCTACTCTGGGCTTTTCTCCTGATAACCATTACCTCTCTACTGGAATGTTGCCATTAGTTTACAAACACACTGTGGTATCTCCCATTAACAAAAATAAAACAAAACAAAACAAAACAAAACCCTCCCTGGATCCCACGAATGCCCCCCAATAACTGTCCCCATTACTCAGGCACTGACAATATTTTCCATGCTGACATTATACCCAAATTGTTTTACTACCATGAATAATATACATTTGTCAATATCTCATCATCCATAATCCTGAAGAAATCTTAGTGTGGAAAAAATAGGAAGAAGGGAGTATGGAAAAATAGGAAGAAGGAAGAAGGGCAGAGGAGCAAATCAGGAGAGGGAACGGCTTCAGAGTCACGGTCCCAATGATTTGACTTCCCTGGGACAGTTTAGTTAGCATGCTACTCAGGGTTTCAGATCAGTGCTTTCCCCAAAAAGATACACTAAGCAGTGTAAGTTGGTAATATTAAACCTAAAATAACTCGATCCTTCTTTTGATGAAATACAATGGCAGAACAGACATAAATGGTACTGGGAATACAAGTCACCATAGTCGCTGCCCACATGGGCATATACATGGAGCCTGACAAAGGAAGCAGCCTACTAGCCCACCTTCTTCCCGGTGAGGACAGCTACACCACCATTCTCAATGTGAGGCAGGTCTTGAGCAGAAACATAGAAAGAAGGTGGCTGGAAATAGATGCTGCACAGAGAAGAGGAAGAAAATGTTATTAACACCTGGAACTGCTATCGACTTCCCCTATAGCTTTAGTAAAATTGTTTCCATTGTGAAAAACTTTTGGGAACATTTTCCAAAGTAAGTCTTCAAGGCCACTAAATCTTGGTTGTGACTTACTTATACAGAGGTATTTTACATCAGCGATTCTCAACTGGTGGCAATTTTTTACCCCCTTCCCTGGGGACATTTGGACATTTTTTGTCTGTAAGAGCTTGTGGGGGAAGGATGCTATTGGCATCTAGAGGGTAGAGGCCCGGGATGCTGCAAAACACTATTGTAGCGCACAGACTACCCCCATGACAAAGAATCATCCAGTCCCAAGTGTCAATAGTGCCAAGATTGAGAAATGCTGTTTTGGATTTATGTTCTTTTCAAAATTAGAACAAGAAGACTGCCCAAGTAGCTGGTATTCAGACATCCACCAAAATGAGCTGTCCAGAATGGTGCTGGTCAATGGACAACTAGGTCTAGCTCCCGAGATGATTTTGCCTCAAACAGTAAACAGTAACAATGAGATAATAATTGAGGGGTAGCTAAGATAATTTGAAGTATACATCCTGCTTGAGAAAGGAACATGATAGCAGGGTTGAAGGAGGCAGGTAGATTTATAAAATTTAGTCCAAAATCAAAGGGATCATTAAGGAGAAAAAAAATTGGTACTTACAGTTCATGGTACTTAAATCAAGAGATCCGAGCCGTCCTTTAAAAGGAAAAGGCTTCTGGACCTGCATTTCTAAGTCTCCTGTGCAAACATGTTAATAAAGAGGTTCTTCTTTACAGTGTGTCCACTCTATTCCTACGATTCTAAATGTCTACTAGATGCCATAGAACAGTGTCTTTTCTTTTGCTCTTATGAGACATGCCTAGGCAAGTGTAAAGAAGTGACAACATGGGCCGAGCTGATCATTACTGAAGTCTAACATAAAAGTCCAGGAATATAGGAGCATCAGTACTTCGGAGGCCAATATTACACCTTCAGTTGTTCATAGATCAACTTTTATCCCTAAGCTATAACAAGTGCATACCAGAGCGAACTCCAGTGTGCAGCCATGCCATCTGTCCTATGTACTGTGCATGGTTCATGCAAAATCCAGTCATTCCCTGTGCTTAGAAGTTGCTAGTCAGGCCTATTTTACATAAATGAACATACCTTCTCTCTTTTCCATTCCACTGTCTGAATCGTAGTGTCTTTGTGACATTTGGGTCATCTGAAAACCATAATTCTTTTGAAAGAGGAGGCCGCATGTATGGCAGCTCAGGGTCTTCAGATACAATTAGTACCTTTAGACACAACATAATGACACTTATCAGAGCCAAGTCATTTAAGAGGCAGATATCAAAGTGTTCACATTGGCTAAGTGCTTGCAAATTATATCCTCCATTACAAGCAAGATGGTGTATGCCTTACCCTGGCCCCAGGATCCCGAGCCCGGATGGATCTGGCTGCAGCAAAAGCAGCAGGGCCTCCACCAAT